ATCAACCACCTTTCATGACAGACTATGGATCGATCTTCCGGCAATAAATTTCACAATCAAAACAGATCGTATTAATCAAGTTCCTTGTCCGATTCATTGATTGCAAAAATTATACTTTCATGTCATTCATTGCTTGCGCCGTTCATGATTTGCTAGATTTAAAATAGCTCCTCTATCCAGATTCAACCCTCTCTTTCTAGACAACCGTGGTTCGAGTCAAACAACTTGAAAACATACCGGTTCCAATGAACCTTCCCTTCCAAGGTTTGCATCTCGCCGAGGATAGCAAGAAGGAGAGAAGATTTCCCACAGCCAACCTGTCCTACGATCATGGTCATCTGACCTACAAATTAATAAATCAAAATTCAATCCTTTAATACATTCTTTTCTTAAAGTATTCAGTTAATGATTATTCCAACTGGTTGCATATATGTATAAATTATCCTATATTTCAGGAATAGATGCCATTTGCATTCTAAGCTTCTGTTGTCAGCACTTCAAGCTGCATTTAGTCTAGTGCTGACATAAGAAGGAGAAGCGGAGGCGTCTGGACAGGGACGTTTGACTTTTCACCTACTTATTTTCCCTGGAGATAATATCCCCTAGGAGATGGGATGGGAGGGGGGAAATTCCTTTGAGCTGGAGCAGTAGATTAGGGGTGGAGTGACTTGGAAGATGGCCAATGAGTGCAGAGGAGTGGGGAAAGAAAAGGGAGGGTTTTGGGTCTGGAAGTCAGTGTTGGCTGAGATGGAGTCGGAATTAGAATGTCGTGTTTAATAAATGGAAGTTTTTCATCAAAGACTTTGTTTGAAATGCAATTTATTTGAGACGACCTCGAAACCTGACATCTGTTTTGATTATTGTTTATTTGCAGTGGTGAAATCCAAATTTTTTTACTACCAGTTCTGTGGGCGTGGCTTGGTGGGCGTGGCAGGGGATCCCCATTCCCTCCCCACTCCTGGGGGAAGGATATTATAGACTAGAATAGAATAGAGCTGGAAGGGACCTTGGAGGTCTTCTAGTCCAGCCCCCTGCTTAAGCAGGAGAACCTATACTATTTCAGATAAGTGACTGTCCAGTCTCTTCTTAAAAACCTCCAGTGATGGAGTGCCCATGATTTCTGGAGGGAAGCTGTTCCACTGCAAGATCTCCATTCCCACCCCACTCCAGGGGAAGGATATTGCAAGATCTCCATTCCCACCCCAGTCCAGGGGAAGGATACTGCAAAATCCCTATTCCCTCCCCACTCCTGGGGGAAGGGTATTGCAAAATCTCCATTCACACCCAACTCCTGGGGGAAGGGTATTGCAAAATCTCCATTCCCACCCCACTCTGGGGCCAGCCAGAGGTGGCATTTGCCGGTTCTGCGAACTGCTCAAAATTTCTGCTACCGATTCTCCAGAACCTGTCAGAACCTGCTGGATTTTACCCTGTTTTATTTGGGTTGCCTATTTTGCAATAAAAATTGGGCGGGATAAAAGGAATGGCCATAAATCTCTCAACGGAAGAACTGCTCAGTTAGAAATGAATGTGATCATAGGCAGATTATAGACATCCCATTTATTTCAATGTAGGAGATTTTAAGCAAGAAATCTATGGTTGTCTATTTTGAAGTCTTAAAGACTTAGTCCAGGGATGGCGAACCTTTTAGACACGGAGTGCCAACTGCGCGCACGTGCGTGCCCAAACTGAAAGGTGGATGTGCATGCACGAATGTGCACACGTGTGGACAGGTGCACGCATGCACACACATGTGCGCACGCATCCGCGGACACGCACGCATGTGCAGCAGAGACCCGAAGACCAGCTGGCCAGCGGGAGGCGGGGCATCCCAACACCGGGAGCAAGGCAAGAGGTAAGATCTTTTTCTTTTGTGAGCTTGTTTTGTCGTTTGCAGAGAAACAGAAGCTCACGAAAGAAACGCCACGGAGATTTGACCTGGGATGACGGCGCGCGTGCCACAGGTTTGTCATCACGGACTTAGTCCGAGAAAATGAAGAAATGACTATAATTTAAGACACTTTTTATATATTTATATATCTACCAGATCTATATGCTGCTCATATCAGTATCTGTGTGACTATGAGTCATTTATAAACTATTTTATAGTCAATCTATGCACGATTTTTTTACATGCTTCTAACTATCTAGAGTAAGTATCTTGAGTCAAACTCAAGGCCTGCAGACTGGATCTGGCCCACGAGGTGCTTAGATCTGGCACGCGGGGCCACCCCGGAAACAGCGAAGGACCAGCCCGTGGTGCAGTGGTGGGTTTCAAAAATTTTTACTACCGGTTCTGTGGGTGTGGCTTGGTGGGCGTGGCATGGCTTGGTGGGTGTGGCTTGGTGGGGAAGGATACTGTAAAATCTCCTTTCCCACCCCACTCCAGGGGAAGGATACTGTAAAATTCCCATTCCCTCCCCAATCCAGGGGAAGGTTACTGCAAAATCCCCATTTCCTTCTGATCAGCTGGGACTTGGGAGGCAGAGAATAGGCAGGGGTGGGGCCAGTCAGAATTTTTACTACTGGTTCTCCGAACTACTCAAAATTTCCGCTACCAGTTCTCCAGAACTGGTCAGAACCTGCTGAAACCCACCTCTGCCATGATGCCTCTGCCAGCAAAAACGGAGCTCGGGAGGGCCGCGTGTGGCCCTCCGGGGCTCCATTTTTGCTGGCAGAGGGCTGCAGGATGTCAAGCTGGCCACGCCCACCCTAGCCATGCCCACTCCACCCCCCCCCCCCCCCGGGTCCAGCACAACCCTGATGCGGCCCTCAATGAAATCAAATTTGACACCCTTGATCTAGAGGCAATTTAAAATTGCCTTTCGCGCTTTCCGAAAGGCCCTGAAGACTTATTTATTCCAACAAGCTGGCCTAGCTTAAATGGTTTTAATGGGGTTTTTAAATTTTTGATTTTATTGATTCTGGGTTTTAA